GTTGAATTACCTGAATCATGTAAAAGAGTTGGTTGTGGATGGGTCTTTAAGACCAAGCGCGACTCTAATGATAATATCGAATGATGCGAAGCTGGATTTGCCTAGGAGATATTTTTGCCAGTCTCCAAGAAAGACTCATTCGAAATTATAATGGCCTAAGTAACTCATTATGACTTAGAGCTCCATGAAATGGATGTGAAAATCGCCTTTCTAAATGGAAATTTAGATGAAAAGTTTATATGGATCAGGCTTAAGGTTTTTTTAGTTAAAAGAAAGGGTTATAGATTTTATTACCTTGACCATAGTACTAGAATTGTTGAAACTAGAAATGTTAGGTTAATTGAGAATGGTAAAGCTTTTGTTGTCGAAATGCTGGGCAGGCATGAAAATAACCCAAGACTTGATCATCGAAAAGTTGCAAAGAAAGTATTGATATACTTACAAGGAACAGACCACATACTCATTTATAGGAGATCTGATAAGTTGGAGGTCATTAGGTATTCAAATTTGGACTTTGCTGGATGTGTGGATATTAGAAAGTTCACATTTGGTTATTTATTCCTCTTGGCTGGAGGGGCTATATCATGGAAAGTGTGAAAGCAGTCAGTTATTGTTGCATTCATTATGGAAGTTGAGTTTGTGGCACGCTTTGAGACCACAGTTCAAGGAAATTGGCTGAGGAACTTTATTTCAGAGCTTGAAATTGTCAACAGTATTGCCTTCATTGTGACAATTCTATAGCGATCTTCTTTTCAAAGAACGACAAGTACTCTAAAGGTGCGAAGCACATAGAATTGAAGTACTTTGTCGTTAAAGAAGAAGTTTAAAAATAGAAGGTGACAATCGAGCATATTAGCACCAATCTTATAATTGTAAATCTACTAATGAAAGGATTTCCACCAAAGACAATTAATGAACATTTCGAAAGAATGGACATTATTGGAAATGATCATTAACATTATCATGTAATTTATGTTGTTTATGTATTGACACTTTGAGCTCATTCATGTATTTTTTTTAACAAAATATTATTCATGTTATAATAGTTGGTGTTTGTACATGAAGGGATTATATGAATGCTAATATGGATAGTCTTTTCGAAGAAATTATTGTAATACAATTATCGAACTTGTCATTAATATTTTGCTAGGTAGAGACTAGAGACTAATATTGTAGTAATTGGAAGGAACTATGTTGAAATAATGGTGTACAACTGCCATGTCTCTTATTAGTCTTCATTTAAGGATGACATATCAAGTGACCAATGTATAAAGGATTTTAGCTTATAATATACACATTATGTTATAAATCACATAGCAATTTATTATTACACAGGCCAAATGGGAGAATGTAAAGCCAATTAATTTTGTGGCCCATGTAATATTATTAGAGAATTAATAAAAGTGGTTTATTTATTGCTAAAATCCTATTAGCCTATTGAGAAGTGGCAATCTTATAACTCTCAAATTTTGATGGAAAGTGAGCAATTATTTCAATGGCCCACAAAACTACTTGTCTCTACCTATAAACGTGAACGAAACCCATCAAACAATACATTTAATTACAGTGAGGAAAAGTGAAAGAACGGTTTCTTGTTTCTCTTATTTTGTAGGTCTAGATGTCCAATTAATTGTAATGGATCAAGGTCTGTTTCTTAATAAATTAACTAATATGTGAAAATCATGGAATTCTAAGAACTTGGTACTAGGGTTTAATTGCTTACAATGTTGACCCCGATTTTTGCAATGGTAACGTAGACAACAAATATCGGGCTCAGTCATGCCTATGCGAGCAATTTTCGGCACGTTTCAATCGGAATAACCAATCGGCTGATCTTTGACGACAACAGACGTGGGATGTGCTCAATCATAGGAGACGAAAAATGTTCGAGTACCGATGATATGGTCGAAAATAATTACCAATGGACCAATAATAACAAGCAATCTCACCAAAGTAGAAATGGCTCAAACCTAAGTAAATAAAATGTGCAAATAAGAGCAATTTTAATGAGAATTCTTGCATATAAAGTGATGTATTTTCTCTCTCCTTCAAAATGCTACAAGAGTAAATATTTATAGTGCTCCCGTTAGCGGGGTAACTGTTGGATCAGAATCATGTGACCTCATCTTGTTGACCAAAACCTTACACCACCGTGCCTAATATTAAATACATTGATAAGAGGTTAGTCGTTCTATACTCTAAGCTAACATTAATTAATACAAACGTTATATAAATCAATCCTACAGATACTCTGCAGATCAGTTTTAAAGGCAGCAAGTGCTTTGACTTTGGGAGAGAACTTTGGATGTGTTGTGGGTCAGTTAGAAGAGAGAGTGCCTCGGTTCAAGGGGCTTCGGACGAGGATAATACTTCGGCTTAAAAACATTTTTGATCCTGTTGACTTTCAGTTGTCCGAATATAGTACCTCCATGTGGCATTGACATGGCCTTCCATAAGAGCCTCAGACATGAGGCATAACAAGTAACATTCAATGATGGTGTCCATATAGCCAATTCTGTTGATGAATCATCATTCTCACCCTGGATTCCCACCTTCCGCTTCGACAAAGATAGTAGCCACAGACTTTGCCACCATTTGTATTTGTTGCTGCTAATGCAACACCCTTTGTTGGAACCTTCGGGACAACGTAAAGCCACATGTACCTGACATTGCTCAAATTCAAGTTAATCAAGTTTTATATCTATATGTATGAGTATATATGTATATCGTTGTGTAATTAAAGTTATAGAATCGATAAAGTGATTGAATACAGTAACTTCACTAAAATGAAACTAAATTTAGACTATTAATGGGGTTGTTTTGCATAGAGGTGACTGAGGCCTGCGCCTTTAAGCCTAACATTAGAGGATCTAAGAATTTAGCATATTTCATTCAATCATACTTTTTTAGGAAAAATTCATATATGCCTAACAAAAATATACTAATTCATTTTATGCTATTGAACCCAATTAAGAACCAAAAATACTACAAAACTCCTTTCGAATTCCAAAAGTATTGTACAATGCACTTTCCTTTTCCTAACTGAAGAAATCAAAGGCATTCAAATCGGGTGGCCTCAATTCATATGGCTGAAATTATGGATATTTTTAAAACTCAAAATCACATTGCTTGCTACAAAGATATTCAAATGTGAGAATAGATGACTCATCACTGGTGGATTGTTTCGTTAATAGGTGAATTGGTTGAAACATCTTTTAGAAAAAAATCTTCAAAATGACTACAAGTAACTGTTTTACAGTAATACAAAACACCATAAATTATTCACTATAGAAAAACTCACATCCTCCATTCATTATTGTATGAAGATAGCATGATTGTAACAACATGGTGATATGTGTGTGTGTGTGTGTATTTCGAATCGCAGGGTAAGGGTATTTACAAGGCGGGCAACAATTTTGGTATTAAATACAACCAGTGAAAAATATGGATTTTTCATGTTTCGAATTGTAAAACTTATAGCCCCCTCACTGAGATAGGGGTTGTGCCATTTTTTTATTGCCCCTGGCCGATGTGAGGGAGCTGTGTGCACACAGCACGACTCGAAAAATATAGCAAAAACAAGAAAGCTCACTCTCAGGATGCTCGTCCTAATTTCTGTAATCAGAATATCAAGTTATCCCGGAAAATCTTAGGCTATCTCTAGCGCTATACCAAATTTTACACTAAATCTTACACCAAACTAAAATTCATCTCCAACCATTACATCAAATGAATAATGTTTAACTATTTTCTTCCTTTTTTTATTCTTTATAATTTATTTATTTGACATATTACTTATTTCATTATTTTATAAATATATAAATTACTAAATAAATCATTACGTTAAATTACGAAAAAGATTAAATTCATTAATAAATATAAAAATCGTATGTATTACGTAAAATAATTTCTTTCTGTATGTCGTTGTTTACTTTCTTTATGTATTACGAAATAATTATGTTAAATATTTTCTTTATGTGTTACAAAATAATTACGTTAAATAATTTCTTTATAATGTATCGTTTTGTTTAAATAAAATTAGATTATCGTATGTATGTCGTTATTTAATATATTTTGTGTTAACTTTAATAAATCATCGTGTTTGTTATATTTTAAATTTTTTTCTTCTTTTAATTATTTTATTAATTATTATTTTTTAAATTTAAAATTTATTTTAAACGTAAATAATAATATTAATATTAATAATAATAAAATTTATTGTATTAAAAAATATATAGCACAAATAACATAAATACCATTAACAATTTTATTTGAGAAAGGATAAAAAAGGGCAAAAGAGACTTTATACTCGCCACGAGCCCGAGCCGAGCTCGTGGATTAAGGAGCACCACCCCTAGGCATATACCCGCTCTTATTTTCCCCAACTAATATAGCCCTTGTTTGATTTTCATTACATTACATTCTATTTTTCTCTCTCCTATTTTCAACCACACAATCTTCCATAAAATAATATTACACGTAAATCGAAAATTTTTCTTTCTTTTTCAACCACTCATTTTTCAAAAAACACCATTCTATACATTAAATTTTCCCCGTAATGGGGGCCAAACAGGGGCATAATATACAAGGTGGGTATTCCTCATTTATGCTCTAAGGCACAAAATATTTTGAGGGTTGATACGGAATTGCTGTCCATTCGTGTAACTTTGATGATTTTTTAACATTACATGTTCCGATTGCCTCTGTCTTTCTATTTCCTTTTTGTCTGAGATGGTACATGATCGATTATATTATTTGTGAGATACGGTTGTTCTATAATTTCCTTTGCTTTCTGCGTACTTGTTTTTAATTGTAAATAGGAAAATATTGGTTGGAGCATGCGAGATTGAATTGAATATCACATTTTTTTATGAACCTAGAGATAGATATTATGCATTTAATCTGTATTTTGTATTTTTGATTGGTGGAAATCTGCTTGCTTTTTCATTTTTTCTTTTTCTATTTCTTTTTTTTTTCTTTTTTTTCTTCTTTTTCTTTTGTGAATTCTCATGTACGAATTACTCGTTCATGAAAAAGATAGTAAACTTAAGATTTAGGTATAAATGTGAGGACAAGTTAATGGTACTGTTATACTGTTGAAGCACTGGTTAATTGCTTTATAAGCTTTAAAATTGATGTGAAAGGCTGGCATGAATGTTTAATGAGCTAATCCCAAAACTTTTAGTTTGAGTCTTGCTCGAGCTTGATCATCTTTGTACGCCTATATATTTCTCGTTCATTAGCCTATAAAGTTGAGCTTTACAAACTGAAGAGCGCTAAAACATGTTCAAAGTTGGCTTGTTTAACTAGTGAACTGCTCTTAACAAGCTTTTACTAAGAGATCTCTATGGGATCTTCTAGTATCTCGGTTCATTTTCTATCTCTACTTATGAATGTTGAATGTGAAATTGAGACCACAATTTGGTTGCATAATTATTTCTTGATGTTGGTTAGTACGAAACCTAAGGATGATTTATCAAATACATAGTTCTTGTCTAAATTGCTCGCTAACTGTTAAAATAGGCATTGAAAACCCGTGGTGGTAATGATCGCCTAAGGATAATTTGGATGCCAAAAATGGATCATTATGTCATTGATCCTATGATGGAGCAAGTTGGTAAAGGATATAGGACGGCTGAATGATTGTGGAAACATATAACTGCTATGTTTAATGCTGAGTTCAGTTTCCAATACCAAAATGAATAAATAAAAAATAAAGATTGATGTTTCAAAATGGATACAAGATGCTGAGGAGTCTACGCAAGGCTATAAACAATTTCCTTGACAATGAAGGTTTAAAATGGGATGAATCGAGGCAATTGGTGACCGCAGATAATGAAGTTTGGGATAACTATATTAAGGTGCTATTCTCCAAATGTTTATAACTTTGAAAGGATTGTCGTTGCACTTCTAGAGGTTTACAATTTTATTTTCAGGCACATCGCATGCTCAATCATACAGAGTAAAGATGACACCATGTGATCATGATTTCTGTGGAACGTATAAAAATGCAACCTTTGGAGGCAAAGACACCATTTCCGTGAAAATTTGATGATTGTAATGACAAAGTGTCACGGTCTGATACTTATAGCTTGTCAGAAGGTGTGAAATATCCTCAACCAAATCTAGATGATGAGAAGCCAAAATGCAAATTGTTGGAATGTTCACCACATTTAGGTGAGGATGTAATTGGGCCAGGCTTTGTTAGTGATGCGGCTGCCGTATCTCTTCTTGATATTAGGATTGATGAAGATTATGGAATCCCTGTGACAAAAGGAATTTTTGACAATACACAACAGTTTCCGTCTGACATGGGTCTACAATAGGTGCTCGTTCAGGGACTTATTGGCAGCCTCCAATGGATCGTTATTTTCTTGATATTTTGCTAGATCAAGTGAAGAAAGGAAACCAGATTGATGGCCTACTCAGAAAACAAGCTTGGGCTGAGATGATTTCACTTTTTAATGCTAAATTTGGATTCTTGTACAAAGTTGGCATCCTCAAAAACCAATATAAAACTCTGAGAAGGCAGTATAATGTTAGAAAGAACCTTCTGGAGCTGGATGGATTTGCTTGGGATAATGCACGGCAAATGTTGACTGCTGATGACTGCATCTGGCAGGATCATATCAAGGTGCATATTCTATCCAATTATAATCCTCATAAACTAATAACAGATGTCAAAATTCATTACTAGTTTGCAATAGATCCATAACTTGTTCCACTGCCATTCAATGACAATAAATTTTTAATTAAAAACAGAATAAGAAAATATTATTGATTTCAGTTGAATGGAATGACTGTTTTCTGATGGCCTGCACATATAAAATAGATGCATTTGTAACAGCTCATTTAAATTGTTTCAGAACATAGTTTCTTGGCAGCACAATACATTACAACATTGATACCGTCTATACTTTCGAGATCTGAGAAATGAGGCCTAAATCTGATTGCTTAATATATTCAAATCTCATCAGAATTTTTCAACTGCAGTCTAAGCACTATGTTGAATTATTTATTAAATTTTAATTTCATGATGCTTTTCTGCAATGCCTGAATACACACTTGATGCACGTATTTTGTTATTTTTCCCTTCTTCATGGTAATTTGAATGATTCATTGATCTCATACCACTTCATATGATTTCTCTATTATGAATATTACCTAGTTTCATTGAAAAATACTATTGAAAATGCAATTGTGATGAAATGCAGGCACATACGGATGCTAGGCAATACATGACCAGACCCGTGCCGTACTAAAAACATTGGTGTTTGATATGGAGAGATTTAAATAGTGACATAAAGGACAGTATGTCAGGCCATAATTTGGAGATCCAAGATGAAGTCTCTGAATTCAAATTTGTCCAACCATTAAGGTTTTGCCAATCTCCAGAGACGTCAGGATCCACTGTCACTATACAATAATGCTATAACTAATCAGTTGACCAAACGCCAGTTGGAAAATCCATTATCCATCCATCTCAGGAACTTCCAAGAGAGCACGGAGCAAAGCTGAGGGTGTGGTTCATGCTGTTCGCAAAAGGGTAACTGTAGTTTCATCATTGGCAGATAAGAGAAAAGAATATGAGAATTTGAACTCGGTTCCTATAGAAAATGTGAGAAGCGATACAGGCTTTACCTGATATGGATGAAGACCTTGTGTTGGATGCTTGTGATTTTCTGGAGGATGAAATGAAAGTGGAAACATTTTTGGCATTGGATGTGAAGCTTCGAAAGAAGTGATTAATTAGGATCACAATAAATGTTTGAATATGTTCCTTAGCTTGTGATTTTTTAATTCCACCTGTTTCGCGCGGGATAGTCGCTAACAATTAAAAGGGATCAGACGATTGTGTAAGGAACAAACCTCTTGAGACAAAGTCCCAAAAAGGGGTGTTCTTTTATTGACGATGACTTTACAATTGGAAATTAAAAACAAAATGCCTCCAAGGGGCGCAAGCACACGAGTTACTGAAAAAAGTGTTTAAGTCTAAACTAAGAAAATTAAAATTACATGTTCTCTGTTCGAGAGTTTTTGATTCGGTCATTTGCTCTATGTCTTTTCTCCTTTTTATACTCCATGGATGATCTTTTTGTGATCAACCATCTAAAAACTGCTTGATCGTTCTACAACTGTCCACTTTCCTCGTAATGGCCAGCTTGTCATGAAAACTGCCTTTTTTAACTACTGCCATTACTCTTCGTCGTTCAACCGTTTTCGATTGAATTCCTTGAATCGTGGAACGTGATAGGGCTGCTTTAATAACTGCTTTGATAACTGCACTTTTTGATAACCACAACGCTTTATGTTTACTGAGACCTTGGGCAACTTGAAGGTTTGGGCGAGAATAGAGTAACAGCTCTAGGCGATTGCATGGCACTCCATTCGCTCAGATTCTGGGCGACTTGCAAACTTGGGCGATGGTGTTACCGCGTTCTTGGTCCTCCCTATTTGGGCCTTCATCTTGAATTGTTTGATTGGGTTTCATTCTTTGGGCTATTTGATTTGGAGATCCTCCAATTGGACTTCATTCCTTGGGCCGTTCGATTTGGGCTGAATTTTTATATGTCAACAATTACCCCCAATATGGCAAAATTAATAATAATTATTAAATTTTGCCATATTCACTTTGTGTTTCCAGCAACATTCGAGATTTCCAAGAATTTCAATCATTGTTTTCTTCCATGCACTTTTTGATAATGCTAGGATTTCTAATTTGTTAGAAATCTCTATTCGCTCCCCTACTTTTGAGTCGGCACTTTTTTCGATTGCTTTGAGTTTTTGGTCTTCCGAGTATAATACATTTATTTTCTCTCTTGGCCATATGTCTATTACTTTAAGGGATGTTGGGGCCCTAGTGAATCTACCACCTTTGGGCGATACCATTGCGTCTCTTTCACGATTTACTGTTCATCTTTTGCTTCCCTGCTACGTAACTCTGAAAAACTTCGTTCCATCTCAAATGGCTACCTCACAATCTCAAGCTGGCGACTCCTTTAGTTTTGATGACTTTCAGAACCCAAAGTTTGGTAAAAACTACACCAAGTCTTATTCAAGCCTGCAAACCCTTCACAATCATTCAAGCGCTGAGCCTTCCCATACTAAGCAAGTGGTTTTTCTTCTAGTTTGGCTTTGTAAATATGTTTTGTGTGTGCCAAGCATAAAGCCTTTCCTGAGTTATTTACCCATAGCGCATGAATTGGCACGTAGTAGGCCTTTGAATTTATGTTCTTTCGTTTTGGCTGCCCTTTATAAAGGCATGGCCTCTCTTCAAACTCAATTGAAGAATGGTGCATCTCCCACTAGTAGTGTACCTCTTTGGTTCACTTAACTGTGGTTGAGATCCTATTTTCTATTGCTTGGTGCTCCATCAATTTCTCGCTACTCTGACACTTTTTGATAATGCTAGAATTTCTAATTTGTTAGAAATCTCTATTCGCTCCCCTACTTTTGAGTCGGCACTTTTTTCGATTGCTTTGAGTTTTTGGTTTTCCGAGTATAATACCTTTATTTTCTCTCTTGGCCATATGTCTATTACTTTAAGGGATGTTGGGGCCCTAGTGAATCTACCACCTTTGGGCGATACCATTTTTCCTGGTATCTTGGTTTCTGGTGGAGCCCCAAAGTTTGGTAGAAATTACACCGAGTCTTATTCAAGCCTGCAAACCCTTCACAATCATTCAAGCACTGAGGAGTTATTTCATGATATTTTAACTGGGACCAATGCCAAGGCAGAGGTAGAAATTTATGCTCCCCAATTCTTTGCTCGCCAGCTTGGTTTCGGCCAAACTTGGCATGTTCCTCCTTGCTATTCAAGAAACTTAATTGACTGTTTTCATATTATTAATAAGGCGGAAGCAGAGGTTATAAATGCTCGCAATCTTCTTTTAACCAGCTATTTTTCATTAGCCCCCTTCAATTCTAGCCACGCCATCATAAATATGTTTTGTGTGTGCCAAGCATAAAGCCTTTCCTGAGTTATTTACCCATAGCGCATGAATTGGCACGTAGTAGGCCTTTGAATTTATGTTCTTTCTTTTTGGCTGCCCTTTTTAAAAGCATGGCCTCTCTTCAAACTCAATTGAAGAATGGTGCATCTCCCACTGGTAGTGTACCTCTTTGGTTCACTTAACTGTGGTTGAGATCCTATTTTCTATTGCTTGGTGCTCCATCAATTTCTCGCTACTCTGCTAGCTGTTATGGGCTAGCCATGGAGCCCTTGGCTCCTGTAAATATGTCTAGAAGGGATATTTTTTTCATTCTTTTATTCTTTGGATTCAATCTCTTCCTTTTTTCCTTTTCCTCTTTTTTTGACTCCAAACTATATACATCCCCTCCCCACTATAGACAGCGTGAGCACCTCCCTGCTCATTTGGATCCAGTTTTTAACCGGGAGAGAGTTATTTCATGATATTTTAACTGGGACCAATGCCAAGGCAAGGGTAGAAATATATGCTCCCCAATTTTTTGCTCGCCAACTTGGTTTCGGACAAACCTGGCCTGTTCCTCCTTGCTATTCAAGGAATTTGATTGACCGCTTCCATATTATCAATAAGGCAGAGACAGAGGTTATAAATGCTCGCAATCTTCTTTTGACGAGCCATTTTTCATTAGCCCCTTTCAATTCTAGCCATGCCATCTATCCCCTTTTTGAACAGCTCTGGCCGTCAGTGAAGCGCAGATTATTTGCGACTGATGCTAATCGTGCCTTTCATTCACTAGACCAGCCGAGCATTTCTTCCCCTCCTCCTGTTTTAGTCACTCCTTTGTCCATCCGGAGTCCTTCTCCTTCTCGTCGCGCTAAACAGTTTGCTCTTCCATCTTCTTCTCTCCCTGCCAAGCCTACTGCAGCCAAGAGTGCCCCAAGCCGCAAACGGCCAGCCTCAGCATCTCCCATTCTGGAGGATGATGTTGATGATGATTATGATACCCCTCTTATCATCAGGAGGAAGGTAATTAAATTGGTTTACTCACAAACATACTTTTCCATACTTGAAACTTTTCTGTGTGCTGATGATTTATTTGGACTTCTCAGAAAAGTTCAACCTCTCCTTTAAAGGCTTTGGTATCGGTAGCTCCTGCTCCATCATCCTTCGCTGAGGCTGTTTCATCGACAGCTCTTGCTCCATCATCCTCCGCTGAGGCTGCTTCATCCAAACCGGTTGATGAGAGGACTACGCTTAAAGAGACATCTTCAGTCCCAGAATCCTCATCACAACCCATGGATGAGCCACCTTCTTCCCAGGGCGTCAACCCCCCAAACATCGAAACAGAAGGTAATTCAGTTTTTTGATGCCTTACCTTTGCTTGTGCTATTGGTTTCTGATTTGTTGCTCTTGAATTCTGCAGATGCTCCTATGAGTCTGCCCGTTATGGCAACATCTTCTCGCTCAGAAAAGGGGAAGTCCTCACGAATGGAGGAGTCATTGGTGGCAAACTTGGCTGAGGACATGCCATCTTCCACGATTGTTGATGAGATAATCTTTGCTTCACTTTTATTTCCATCTTGTTCGTTGTAATGAGAATCTTTAATATTAGCAATTTTCTTTGCAGGATGCTGACAAGATTGTGCGTTCTATCCAAGACTTGTTCGCTTCCTGGGGGCAAGTCAAGACGTCTCGCCCTACTCCATCTGACCGTCCTGCTGCTTCTTCAGAAGAAGATTTGAAGTTCCTCAAGCAGTCGATATTTGAGTACGTGTCTTTCATGGATATGGACATTGGTAGGGCTGGTGCTGCCAGACACAAGGATAAACTTGAGCATTGGAATGCGAAGTTGGAGCAAGCACTGACGCTTCCGTCGCTCAATCTTTCTGTTGATTTTAAAGCGACATTGAAGGTTATCCACTCCGAGGTCCTTTCCTTGCTGGCCAAGAATGCTGAACTAAAGGTCAAAAGTACTCAATATCTTCGCACCGTATCTAAAAAAGAGTCTCTGCGTCTGGAGATCTACAAGGCTGAGGATGAGTTGAAAGAGATCTCTTCCGAAGTCATGATTGAAGACTCTTTGATGGTTAGTTTGACTACTCAGATGAAGGAACTTCAAGCCAAAATGGACGACT